ACACCGTCACACACACACCATGTCATCGGACACAAAATGTTGTGTTTGACACATAGAGCAGTGAAGTCAAATACAGAATATGTCGGAGCAAGTCCTCAACAACCACAGCCATATTAGAGAACTGTGACTTACCACAGCCTCTGTTCAGGAGCTGTGGTTGTGGATGAGTTGTGATGAAATCATATTTGAGCCACAACAAAGCTGCAGTGTCACAGGTCTAGGTATCATGAGATAATCCGTAATTCACTTGTATCTAAAAAACATAAATCTGTTATTTGTTTCAAAACCAAAAACGAAAAGGACATTTTTGGTGTCAGAAACAAACAAAAAAACTATCAGAGACTTTTCTATGTTTCTTTATGTTGTTATAACTGGTTAAGTTTCGGCTGGCTTCATGGCAGCTCAGCCCCAGAGCCATCATTATCTACTCACCACTATGCCAATGGAGGGGTGGGTGAAGTGTTTGAGTCCAGGAGTTTCAGGGAAAAACAGTGTTGCAGCCAAATCCAATCCAATTGAAGTAAATGGTGACCACCTCTTCAAACATAATAAAACAACAGAAAAAAATTAGGGATAGTTTTACAGAGTTCCACATGACACAGATAAGTCTCCCAGGGAGTCACAGCAGCTGGCCCACTCATCCCGTTACTGTTCGAACTCGTCAAATCTATCAGGGGTGGAAAAGCCTCACTGGTTCATCCTCTTATTGTCTTAAACTACAAATCCTCGTTTTCGGAAGACCACATTCAATTGCCCTTTCTTTTAATTGTTGCTGACTCTTCATCATTATTAACTCTCCTCCAAAACACATTTGGAGCCTTCCAATCGGGGTCTGTCTTTTTCTTCATTAGGTTTCTTTGCTTTTTGAATTTCCCATTTTGGGTTCTCAATCACTTTTTCTTTAGTCACAATCAACATTTGCTTAATGTTATGTCTTTCCCTTTTTCTCAACACCTTTAACTTGTTATCCATTAACTTAATAAACCCAGTTTATTTTTCTAGGTGTTAGAATCAGTCATCACTCATCATTCACCAGAGAACTTCTAAAGTTCACACTCAGGTCCCAGACATTGAGCACAGCGTTAGTTCATGCAGTCCACAAAGTCGAGCTCAGCTCACCTGTCGGCTACAACAGCTGGTCTCAAAGCTGACTCCCTTTCATGCATTCACTCACAAAGCTCAAACAGATTCAGCTTGTCTTCCCCTGCTGCTTCCTCTGAAAGCTGTTTTTCAACCTTCCTCCACCCCAGCGCCACCTATCTCATTCTGTGTTTAATTAACTTGATTAACCTCTCTGTACTTCCATTTAGGCACATGGTGTGCTCTACTTGTCATAGGCTCTTAACGTATGTATGTGGAAGGGCAGAGAGGTCCCACAACAGAGCCATACTGCTAAATGTAACTTTGCCGAGCCATATGAAGTTTTCTTTGACAAAAGTGGTCTTGACCTATAATTGTTGCATCTGTGACCAATATTTCAGATTCTCACCTTTTAAGGTTCTTGGATCTCAGCGATGAGTGAGTCTGGGCCCTGAACTCAGGTCCTCAGGTCTCCAAACCCTTTATGGGAGGTTGAGGCTGGACTTGTGTCCAGGATGATCAGTTACCGTCTCTCTGGGGCTCGAAAAAACTCACACGAGAGATCCCACTTCTGAGATCAGGTTTGTGGTGGAAATCTGATACAAAACAAAAGATGAGGATCAAGAAGTTTTATTATAAACCTTTGCAAAGGGTCCACACTGATAACAGAAGGTTTCAGAGTGGCACCCATATAACAACAGTGCCAATATTTATTAGAACACAGTGGGTGGATTTGAGATAAAGCATAAAAGTCAAGGCTGTGAGTTATTAAAAATATGAGCAGTTGCAGCTAGGTACAGCTTAGCCAGCTGGAACAATCGTTATGTCTCACATTCAATGCTCAATAACGAGAGAATGGTCAAGCTGACATACACACACAGCAAAAACGTAGCCTGCCACGCTGTTTCTGGGTTGTCCTGTAGTCAGAAGGTCGGTGGTTCCATCCCAGTCTTCTGGCAATAAATTGTACTGTAAAGCACTTTGAGTGGTCATCAAGACCAGAAGTGGGCTATATAAATTCAAACCATTTACCATTTAGCTGTGTTTAGTGCTCGCATCAAGAAAGTTGAAACCTGCCAGCCAGGGGCCGCTATTCTGTGGCTTCTTCTCACAGTCTGACATGCAGGTTAGCTTAAAATGAAAATTCGCTCATTATTCAACCAATGACGCAGTTTCAAGTCAGATTTGAATGTCGGGTCTTACGGACACTTGGATGGCAACACAGGAGCAGTATGGAGGCATGTTGTGTTTTTTACCTTTAAAGATGAGTAGATAATGAGTGAAATTTTATTCTTGGGGGAACTATCCCCTTAATTGGTAGTTCCAAATTACCCATACATGTGAATGGTAGTTTTTCTCAACATGTCAGCCCTGTGCTGGACTCGCAGTGTGTCCACAGATTCTCACCCAGGTCACCTTTGATTGGCTTCAGCCCCAGCATTGCCCTTAAAGGGTAGGGCATAAACATGGTTTAACTTGTTGTAATTTGAGCACATATATGTGTCCACATTAGCTGTCACATTAGTTTTTCTTTAGATGTCTTGTGTTGCTCACTAGAGCACATACCTCCGCTAAGGCCTAACAATTTATGAAACCACAATTAAAGTCACTAGATCAGGAATTTTATTTTGAGCTTTACCCAATTACACACACTCATCAATATCCTAAACATGACAGATTTTTGAAGTTTGTCGTAAGACATTCTTGCTTTATGTATTCCAGTGTCCGGCCACCCAGCTGGACTTGGCCTTTGTCATATCAACAAGTGGGCGGCTCTTTTGATTCTGAAATGGAAAGCCTGGCTTTGATGGTTCTCTTTGGTCTGTCATCTTAATCTTCAAAGTCCATTCAGTGGAACTGAACCTCCTTAGTTGAACAATCTGAATGACTCATAGCTTCTGCTCTGCACGCACATTGACAAACACACACACACACACACACACCTTCCTTGGAGGTCCGTCATGCTGCACTTTGACATGCACATCCATGAGACAGCAAAGCAAACTTTTGATGCCATGTAGCTGACAATCCTCTTTTACATCCCAGATCAGAACAGTAAACGGATCGTGCCCACTTTGGGTTTTCTGCAGCCAAATTCCATCAAACAGCAGCGTGAATGCAGACTTTACCTGTGCAGTTTGATAATTGTTCAGAGATAAAAGGGGGACACAGATGAGAGCTTTCAAGATAACTTCAATCTATTTTTCTGTCAATTGAGTGGGTGATGATGATGCCTGAGACTTAACCACAGAGCTTGAACTTATAATGTTGTCCAGGGGCCTCTGAAGTTTCTGATCAGACATGACAACGGTTCCAAGAATCAGGTTTATAGGGTTTTGAGAACACGTTTGCTAAATGAAACCATGAAGCAACCTGCCAAATCAGGAGCATGCTGTTAAAAGACTAGGATTAAAATACATTGCTGCCACCCTGTGACCAACTGTGGCATTACAACTCTGAGTCATGGATTAAAACAACAATCCCCATAAAACTACCAAGATCTTTGATAAAAAGAAGAATGAAAGGTAGCTTCATTACAGGCTACTGGTAAAATAATACATATTTGTGTCTAATGATGTTTTTCCTCAGCATGTGATAAATGAAAACAACATAATCCAGAATAGTCATGTTGATGTTCATCTTAATTTGATTTAGCAAAGTTGGATAAATTGGATGCATCTGCAATGAACCTCTCCAGAGACATTTAAAATCATCTTTTTTAATGGTTATGTCTCATACATTTTTAAAAACACATTCACAAACAAAAATAAATATACAATAAAATAATGCTATAAACATTTCTTTAACCTCACTACCACACGTACTGGTATCTGCTCCATCTTCAGGAACCCAGCCTACTGCAAGAGAACCAGAACCAGGTTACCAGCATTCTCTAAATGACTGAGTGATTACCTGATTCTGTACAGCTGTCTGATCACCGGCTGAGCCACTCCTCCCTGTGGTCCAACAGCCGGAATGAGGCACCTGTAGCCAGAGAAACAGAGGCCATCTCTCTCCACTCATTAAGGAGGTTGAGGTGGTAAATCTGTGTTGCACCACCCCTGTCAGACCGCACCACTTCATAGTCTACCTCCTGTGATAATACCCCAAGTGAATGAAGTTTTGCTTGCAGGTCCAACACGTACTGAATCTCATTTTTAGTGGCGCTTGGACCTGTCTCCCAGTCTTCTGGATGTGACAAAGGAATGTACTAGGTTTTCTGCATCTTTTTGAGACAGGGCATGTCTGATTTTTGAGATATGGAATTTTTGGAAAGAATGGGGTCCTGGAAATGTATTTTTTTTATGTGAGAATCAAAGAACAAATCTGGATCAAAGATAACTCCCAAATTCCTGACTGTTTCAATGGAATCAATGTCATCATCTACATCATTAGATAATGTATCTCTAAGGTGCTTAGGGTCAAGTATTAGAACCTCTGTTTTATCTGAGTTTAATAAAAGAAAATTGTGGGTCATCAAGGTTTTTTATCCTTGAGACATGCTTCAAGTTTGGTTTATAGATCACACTGTTCAGTTTTTATTGATAAGTATAACTGGCTGTCATCCACATAGCAGTGGAAATTTGCAGTTTGTCCCGAATTCATATAAATACTGAAGACATAACAATAAAATTTGGCTGCCTTTAAACAATGGGGCAACAAAGGCAGTGGTAGCTGCCTTTAAATAGTTTGGCAAAAGAGGCCTAAAGGCAGTTGCCTTTAATCTGTGTGTCTACAAAGGCACACTGTCAGGCATCTGCCTTTAAACATCATGGCAGTTTCTGTTTATACCGGAATTGCCTTTATAAGCTAGCCAGACACAATTTGAGATTGCACTTGCTGAAAGTCCCACAATTTGAACTCATTCTTACTGATCAACATACTTACAGACTTACTGTCAATACTGCTATTAGATTACCATGGAAAGTGAAGAACAATCAGAAGCGAACACAAAGTTATTTGCCGAGGACCAAAGGCTGCCCTTCATTGCTGACATTGTGCTGAAGTCCCTCAAAGTTAAACAGGACAAGTGGCAGAAATGTGTCTCCACCGAGGAGAACCGCCAGGTGCTGCAGGACTTTATGGACAGAGCCGAGCAGCAGAACCTCGTGGTGTGCTTGGCCGCTGGTGGGACGCTACAGACCACCGCCAGTCTCTCCGCCATGCCGCCAGGAACCAAGGCTGTGTACTTCACAAAGTTGGAGAAAACAGCGCTCACTGCAGAGCGAATGAGGGAGAAATTGACTTATGGACTCATGCCCTCCAACCCGCTGGAGCTCTTCTCCTCAATAATTGAGGTGAGCAGCGTGTTCTCTGTGTGGTTGGGGACTGGATTCATGAACTAACTGTGAAGTTTGTACATTACTCAAAATCAGTGATCCAAGTACATTTGCTCAAGTACTGTATTTAAGTACTACAGTCAGTAAAGACTTGAGTATTTAGCAGATTTGAAAGACAAATATTAAACTCCAGTTCTGCCTTTAACCATCAAAATCAACACTTACAAACCACAGATAATACAAAGCTAACCAGTTACCCTTGCTAACCCTGCTAAGAAACACAAAGAGAGGGATAGGGACTCAATTTCTGGCATTAGTATACTAATACCAATCTCTGTACCCGAAACGCAGATCTCACAAACGGTTAATCTAAATTGCTGTAAACCTGGCATGTACATTCTTAATGGCCCAGGGAAACACACTGTGGCGTTTGGTCTGATTTGGACACTGGGTTAATTCAATATTAATTGAAATTTTAATAAAAAGGCGACCAGCACTCTGATGTGGTCAATGTGCCTTAAAGGGATTGTTCTCCCTTGAAAAGAGAAAATTCACTCATTTTCTAATCACCACCATGACAATGGCACAGTTACAATATATTATGTATTTTCTTGATCCAGTCACTGTGGATTTTGGGTATTAATTGGACTAGAGTTCTAAATAACGAAGCTCATGCAATGAACATTTACTCCAAAGCAAATATCTTTCTGCACTGAAAAACTCTTATTTCCTTACACATTCACAGGTGCTGGACAGCCACACTAAATGGCCACAGGTAGTGGAAGTGCCTGAGCATGTTGTGCACAACGTCCACTCCCTGAAGAATGATGTGTTGGTGATGTCAGGCCAAGTCCAAGGCAAGACTCTGCTGCCTCTCCCCATGGACTTTGAGAAAGTGGAGCAAGCCGCCCTGAAGATGGGCAAAAGGTAAACAAACAGCTAGGACATAAAGGTTTGTGTCAATGCATCATTTCTCCTACTTGTACATTCTAATGGTTTATGAAATCATACAGGGGAAGAGTAGTGGAAAGGTGCATCATGCACTCCTTAGAGTCAGCGGTGATTGAGTGGAGCCGTCAGATCTCTGCCTTCCTGAAGATAGACTCCTCTGGGGCTCTGCTAGAAGGCAAAAACCCCACACCGGACACAGAAGTGCTCTTCTGGAAGAACAGGTCAGCACCTCAGTTATTACAGACACAAAGTATCCACTGGCAGCTCCTCAGCAGCACTTGTTCCAGGGATGAGATTGTGTGTAAATAACCCTCTAGGACCTCTAGGACCTCAAAGTTGGTTGTTTCTTTCTAAATTCTTGCTGATGCTACTAATTGTTTGATTTTCGGAGCTCCAGTGCTGTCAAGGGAAAAAAGCAATTTGGTGCGCTCTTCTTTTTTGTACTAACGTAGCAGAATTACATATTGAAAAAACTTGTTTGTTCTTTTAAGGCTGCTGCACATCAGGGCCGATTTTAGACATGATTTGCCCCTTCCAACAATTGTGGAGTCAGCCATGACTAGCCATGTGTAGTCAGCCATGTGTAGTCAGCCATCCATAGTTGTAGTCAAAACAGAGCACTCGACTTTGATCCTCCTCAATGATTGTTTTTCTTTCACATTTAATCACGCAAATGTTCCAAATTGAGCTCAGAAGGTGGAGGTAATGGACCTAAAAGTGGTTGCCATCCCAGATTTTAAAAAAGACTGAGAGAAGAAGAAAATATCACAAATCTCTATGAGAATTCAAGTCTGTAAAATTGCCACTGTGAAATCGTGTCCTTGAAGATTAGGATATTAACAATCAGTTAAATCTGTCATCATGTCTGTAGTCTCCCACATTTTGTAATCGGAGTGCAGCAGCCCTTATCTGTTTTCTGATCCAGTCTGGTTCCACCAACTCTTGATACATTCAAACTTAACCTAGTTATGAAATAAAAGTAACTATTAAGAAGAGATTTACCTGCAAATCCTCCTAAAGCATATACTTGAACTTTAAATGAGGTATTTTTTATTATTATTAACAGGAGATGAGTACATATGAGCGATGTTTGTCTACAAATACGACAGGAACATTTTTGACCTCCATCTTTCTTTTTCCCACTTGTAGATATGTAGATATGAAGGGTGTCCATTCCCAGTTAACATCCTCTAAAGTGAACAAGATGGGGAAGCTGTTGGAGGCTGCGGAGAGCAGCTATTTCCCTGCTTATAGA